GAAACTACCCAACAGTCAATTGTGGCCCCCCTCTCAATTTAAAAAAAGGGAGGCACATCCTTGCAGAGTAAAACAGGCATCCATTTATCTATTAATGCTCTAGTTTCAGCTAGCTCTAGGCATAAAACAGAGGTAGAAGTGTTTTCAAAGGTCATTAAATCTACCTATCCCCAATCCCATGACAGCAACTACCATATTTTTGACCAGTGATCATCCAAGTTAAAAAAAAAAAAAGGATTCTGGAATTCTTCCTAGCATTTATCTTCCTTTTCTATATTTTAAATCTCTTAATCAGTTCCAGCCTTCTGCAGCTGACTTCCCCAACGTGACACTTTCCAGCTGTGATGCAACTTTGCAAAGTTCCCAGTCCCAATGCATCTGGAGGCCACCAGTTTGGTGGTTAGCTGAACTAGAGGCGAGGCCTTCAGTTTATCTCAAGATGGCAGTTCTATCACCTCCAAGCAGTCTCTTGCTTACGCTGAACAATCCAGGGAATGCCGCTAAGGCTGGGGGGGTTCCAAAAGCAGGCACACCGGAGGCGACACTCACATTTTCCAGAACATTGAAGAAAACATAAACATTTGGTGCAATGTACAAAACATCAGCATTCCCTAATTTCTTCTGTATCTTTAATCCTTCCCTTCATTATCGAAAGAAAAAGTGGCATACAGTCAGTCCTCAACTTACAACAGTTCATTTAGTAAGCGTTCAAAGTTACAACAGCACTGAAAAAAGTGACTTATGACCAATCTTCATACTTATGAGCTTTGTGGCATCCCCATGATCACATGATCAAAATTCAGATGCTTGGCAACTGAGTCGTATTTATGACAGTTCAAGTGTACTGGGGTCATGGGATCCTCTTTTGCAACCTCCTGACAAAGTCAACGAGGAAACCTGATTCACTTAATAATCTGTGTTACTAACTTAACCACTGCAGTGATTCACTTAACAACTGTGGCAAGAAAGGTCATAAAACAAAGCAAAACTCACTTAACAAATCTCTCCATTAGCCACAGAAATTTTGGACTCAATTGTGGTCATAAGTCAAGGACTACCTGTACTTGGTTCTTATCTCATTTTCTTTTTACAATTGTCTGAAGACAGAAAGAAAAGGACCAGGTCAATGTCACCCAATGAGCTTGATGGCTGGGTGAAGATCTGAAGTCTCCAAGGATAATGGGCAGCACCAATCAATTTGCCAGCTTGGACAAACCTTTCTTAACCGTTCTACCTTTAAATGGCAGTATGCATTTTTTTTTTTAATGGTCAGATATAATGGAAGAGGGTTAGGAAAAGGCACACATCACAAGATCCACAAAAAGAACAATTTTAGCCTTGAGAGGACTGAAGGGGAATATCATAGCACTCCTCAAGTACCTGAAAGCATGTTTCACAAAACCCTTTTCTCATCTCAAAGTGCAGTATATGGAATAATGGGTTCAAGTCTCAGCTTGATAGCCTCTAGATCACAATATCATGTCATGGCCGAACCAAGCACTTCCTCATGACTCCCACCCCTGCCAATTACTGGCCTTAAAGTCTGGAACAGTAAACCTGACAGGGGAAGAAAGCAGAACCCAGACCTCCCCAACTACCTAGCCAGTTTGACAAATTGGTATCTGGAGATGGTGGGAGGATGGGGAACAGGGCAAGAAGCCAAACTGCTTCAAGAAAATGAAGTAATGGAAAATTTCACAGGAGCAAAATTAAAAGGGGTGGGGGTGAACATACAGAAGAGACAGCTGCCCCAGTGCCTTCTAATGAGAAACCCAGGGAAGACAGATTTATTTTAGGCATAACTTTTCCTTGCTTCTGATGGGAACTTGGTGGAGGAATCCAAAACAAACTGCAATCCAATGAGCCAATACCTGAATACTCCTTAATAAATGTATACCCAATATAGACAATCATGTTTCTGGATCGCTTTGATAGATACTCAGTTCTAACCAGATTAGTCCTAGTATTGATTGCTGAACCCACCCCGGCCGGGTACAAAGGGAGAATATTCAGACTTGCGATCCATTTCAGTGCAGTGAAGGTCATAGATATAAAGACTGCTGGTTAAATTTGGTGGTTACCAGCCTCGGTTGTCAAGGGAAAGAGAAGCAAGGTAATTGTACCTCCTGCCACTTGAAATAAAGCCACCCTTTCCAGATATCCAACCAATCAGAACCCACTTGTATGATGAGCGTTCTTCAGTCCATCATCTACACTGCAGGAAGATCAAGACTTAGGGCAGCATTAAACACACTTGCGATCGCAAGCATTGTTGGCCAGAGTGGGATTGTGTTGCTCTCCCTCACTCAGGAAGATTGTATTTTACCATTCTCTTTGAAACAGCAATTGTAACTTGACCAAGAAACAAGAAAGAGAACCAACAGAAGATATGTAGCTCAGTGTTGAACTGTGGGGTTCTTGGTGCTCTCTGAGTTTGGTGGTTTTCTTGCAGAAAACCAAACTAAGTAACATCATCAGTGCTAGACCTGACATCATGTAGCATCAATGATGTTACCTAATCTGATAATGAAACATCTGCAAGAAAACCACCAACCTCAGAGAGCACCAAGAAAGAGGACCTTGAGGAAAAGGAGGATTGTAGGAGTTTGAAGCGTGGTCTGGATGATCGCAAACCGTGTTCACAAAAAGAATGACTAGCCACTTTTGAACAGAACAACAGTTAATATTCTAAAGAAACCTAGCTTGCCATGAATAAAGTCAGCATACAACAGCTAGATTCATTTATCATAGTAAAACATTTTCTTTGAGTTAGTGCATTGTGTGAAAACAACCGCACCAGTAGCAACGAAGTATGTATTTTATCAGTTGTAGCTTTTTCAACGTGCCATGATTAAGGAAACACTGGCGTAAAACAACATGAAAATTCAGCATTCATTCATCCTTTAGTCCTCTTACTAGTGGTGAAACTCACCTAAAAGGAAAGACTTGCCATAATGTCCAAACCTGGAATACACCAGTGTTTAATTCTTTATAAGCTAGAGTTGAGTTCAGACATTATAGTAAGTTTTCATTTCCATACCTTGTATCAGCGGCCCCCAGGGACTGGTTCTGTGGAGAGGTTTTTCCGTGGACCGGAGGGGGCATGGTTTCATGTGCTGCCTGCATCCCGTGGACGGGGCTTTGCTTATTTGTGCAGGCCAGTTTCTGGCATGCTGTAGCTTGATATATTATGTAAATATGTCTCATAAAAGGAGCCCAACACATTTTAGCTTCAACTTTGCTACAGAAGATTAATACAGAAATATGTAAGATTGGGGAAAACCTTGGGACAATAAAGTAACATGTGCTTATGTACAAGACTGATATCATAGGAAGCTAGACAAATAATATAATGAACTGGCTAAGCCTTAAAGGCCTCCTGTTTCTAATTCATATTTTCTCGACTGACCTTTTTTCAGGACCTGCCAAACAGCATCTTCTTTAGCCATCATGAAAACAGCAAGTGCTGCAGGGAAAGGCAGAAACTCTTTTACTCAGAAAGCCTTTGGGTTTACTACACTATGGGAAGCCAATCCTACCGGATTACACAATCTGCACCAAGCCACGATAAGACATTTGGCTCAGCACACTCAGCCTTTGAGATTACAAGTTGGCAGTTGGATGGTTCCAATGTTCTGCAAACAGTGGTGGAAATTAAAGAGTGGTGTAAAGGCAGATCCTTTCCACTCTTTCAGGGTCTGTGTAGGAACACATTGAGAACCCTCCAATGCAGATCCTGAGATGGCATTGTTTGATCTTTCAAGGATGAAAGCAGAATGAATCACTTGTCCTTTCTGTGTGGAAAATGACTTCTAAAACCAAGAGGAAATGAGGAATTGCATTCCAAGAGGCTAGGATTTGTTTAAATCCCCAAACATCTCCAGCAATGGGATCACTACAGAGAGCCAGTTTGGGGTAGTGGTTAAGGGGCTGGCATGGCATGTTCACTGCCTTGAGTATAAAGTAATAAAGGCAGAATAAAAATCTAACAGACAAACAGGCATGGAAAGATTTTTTTCTTCAAGTGCTGGAAGACATCAACCCAGAGTTCTCACTTGAGGCACAAATGACCAGGCTCAAATTATCCTACTTCAGGCACATTATGAACCAGCTCTCTGGAAAAGGTAATAATGATGGGAAAGGTGGAAGGAAAGAGAAGATGACAGCCGCAAAGTGGACAGACTCAGTTATGGTGATGTCACCAGGAGACTGGAAAGAATAGGCTAGAGATTGTCATGGAGAACATCTGTCTGTGATCGCTAGGAGTTGAAAAAGACTCGATGGAACATAATCACTGGAAGACAAGATACTAGGGCAGTTATTAAATTAGACATAGAAGAATATCCCCTTAGGTTGCCAAGTGACCAAGAAATGTTTTTGCCCATCACTTTTTGGTAAATCACTGGAGGCAACTACCCTGCACCAAAATAACATTTTCTTCCAAACCGCTACGGCAGAGGAACATGCCTTCATTTTCATTCTGCACGTGCAGCCTGCATACATTATTCATTAGCCAAGCTGGAGTTGCCATCACTTTGCAAAGAGCAGCCACCTGGCTAATAAAATTCCAATTACCAATTGGGATGCCAAATATGTTGCAAGGATGGGGATGGCTTTTTAATAGCAACAGCTCAGTGGAAGGAGGAATAGATTATTCCTCTAGATATGGTCACGTAAAGACCACTACAGCCCGGGCTGGGAAATACCGCATTTTTGGAAAACAGGTTACAAAGCCCATATGGAATCCACCCCAGAGCCGAGTCCAGAGATTAGCGATTCGCAGGGCACGAAGAAGCTTTGCAAACTCTCCTGACAGAGAGTTGACCCTGGCATAAAAGACACTCCTGCTACTCCGACCCGAGACAAAGACACTCTGTACAAGCTCAGAGAAACCCTTTCCTTGGGGCCCACTCCGCAGGCATTTGCCCAGCCAGGACAAAAGAAGAGAGCGGAGAAGCAGGAGGCGAACGGCGGGGCTCCCTTCTGGCATTCGTGGCTACCTGGTGGAGAGCGCTGATGCCGTCCGCGTTGGTGCCGTTCACGGCGGCCGGATCGGCCCGGAGCATCTCCCGCGCCGCTTCTAGCTCGGCGCCGGCGCAGCAGGCCAAGAACTCAGCGGCCGCGTCGAAACGGACCGCGCGCGGGCGGCCGCCGGAGCCCATCCCTGGCGCCGCGAGAGACAGCGCCTCGTCCGCGGACGCCGGCAACCCAGCGGGAGCGGGTGAAGGCGCGGAATCGGCGGGAGGCGGGGTCGGGAGAAGAGTAGCGGCGGCGGCGGCCGCCTCGGCCTCGGCCCAGGCACGGACTTGTTCCCGCCGGCGCGCTCGGGCGCCTTCTCCCTCGGAGAGGGAGAGTAGCGGCGCCGCCATTTTCTTCCTCTGCTGCAGCCGCCGCCGCCAGCCCGGCTGGGCGGCCCTCCCGGCCCAGCTCCTCGGTAGGCTGAAAAGCAGCCGAAGAAACGCCTCTCGGCTTCCGTATCCAGACGGGAAGGGAAGGGGGGGAGCAAGATGAAGCCGGGGGAGGGAGGAAAGAGCTTGTGGGGCATCACGGGAAATGGAGTCCTAGTTCCCCTATTTTCCTCTTTCCCTCCCCACGGTGTGACGGGAGTGACTACTCTTCGTTTTCCTATAACTTTAATCATAACTTTCTGTGAAAGCGGAACAAGCGCCTTTTAAACTTTATTATTTATATACACGCCACATGCTTTTACAGCCCTTTCCTTTGGAGCAGAATTCCCTCTTAAGAACTGTATCACCATTGTTCATGATCTCTATTTCCTATCTCTATGGAACTTTCTTTTTTCTTTTTTTAACAATAGCCTGGCGGCTATTGTTATCCTTTTCTCCCGCAAGTGCTCCTGGGAGATGAAGTCCATAAGAAGTGAGAAAAGTTTCAATAGTAACTTTATACAAACGCTCTAATTCCGGAGGGAGATTCTGACCTAATTTCCTACCGAGTCGTTTACAATTTCCACAGTTGTTTAGAATGGCTTTTATAGGATTTACGATTTAGCATTGAAAATCCTTCTAAAGGTTCTCCGAAGATGGGGCGGAGTTGAATGTCTCTATGGGTCCCCGCCCTAAATATTTTTTGACAGAGAGACTCTGAAGGGTGATGTCATCGAATACCCATAGAACTGGAAAAAGTATAGCATCAGGGTGCTTTTTATTGTCTCTGGTTGGTCCCTCTAAGCGAGCAGTCTAACTATAGGTATTCAAAATTTATATTGCTAAGTGACAAATTTATTAAGTGAGTTCTGCCCCATTTTACAACTTTGCTTGTCACAGTTGTTAAGTAAATCACTGCAGTTGTTAAATTCGTAACACGGTTTTTAAGTAAAACTGGTTTCCCCATTGACATTGCTTGTCAGAAGGCTGCAATAGGGGACTACATGACCCCTGGGACACTGCAACCATCATAAATGTGAGTCAATTGTCAAGCATCTGAATGTAAGTCACCTGACCATGGAGATGCTGCAACGGTTATAAGTGTGAAAAATGGTCATATGCCACTTTTCCCAGTGCCATTGTAACTTCGAACAGTCACTAAGTGAATTGTTGTAAGTCGAAGACTACCTGTATATTGTTTATTTACACTATATAAATGTAATATTAAAATAGTATATTATTTATACTATAATTTTTTATAGAAATGAGCAGTGTAAAGCTAGTATTTCTGGGCTGCTCATTTTAAACCATTGGGGGCCTCCAAGAGAGGTTTCTTTTCTGTTCAGTATCTCTTTGTCCTCCTTTAATTTCCAGATTTTGGAAGTTCCGGATTACTTAGTTGTTTTCTAAATTTTAAATAATCTCTGTTCTTCTTCCATATTTATGCAGTTCCTAGTCTGTTTTCCTTAGCTTTTTCCTTTTTTCTCCATATACACAAATATCCCCACACACATAGATTAAAAACTCTTTTGTATGAAGCCTGAGACAACTACTTTTAATTTATATAAGCTACCCAGAAATCCCAAGCAAGCAAGAAAGACAGAGTGAATCTGATCCACTTGAGCCTACACAGTGGCTATATGGCAGTAAAGCACCAGTACTAATACTTTCCCCCTGATATTGCTTCCATGGATGGTCATGCAATAGCACCATTTAAGACAGCGCTTCTCAACCTTGGAAACTTTAAGATGTGTGGACTTCAACTTAGTGCTCCAGCCAGCTGGGTGGGTCTGTCAAGAGTGAAAATCATGCTAACTTCATAAACCCTATAATCTTGGACTTTTATCTGGATACTTGGGGATTCTGGGAGTTGAAATCCATGCATCTTAAAGTTGCAAAGGTTGAAAAACACTGATCCAGGATGACTCTCCACATTGGAAAGAAATGGGCAAGAAGACTCTTGGGACCTTTTCACACAACCTTTTGCTAATAAAGTCAATTACAAATTGCCCAAGTCTTGACTCTTTGTGGGCCAGTTCTGAAGCAACAATTGTAAAGAGTCTTGTGCTATTACCTGGGACTCCTCTCTATCCATGGATTGAATCAAGTGAATAAGGGACCTTTTACGTAAGTTCTGCCGGTTATGATCCATATCATGACCCTCCTCACTTTTTCAAGGGATTGATAAGATGGATCTGAAAGGTGATCCTTGCCTTGTTATGAGAGAGCATGATACCAGCAACCTTGAAAGTGGAATTCCATAGATCAGGACTTTTCAACCTTTTCACCGACTATACCATTTTTAGGATATGGCAATATTCGAGTACCACCACCTAGCAAGGTGTCAAAAACTTGATGACCAAAAAAAAACAAAACCCTGTTCAAAGTTGCAATTGCACTGAAATGACTTATGACCATTTTTCACACTTACGACCATTGCAGAATGCCCAGGGTCATGTGATTTATATTTGGTTGCTTGGCAACTGATTCATATTTATGATGATCACAGTGTCCCAGGGTCATGTGATCCCCTTTTGCAACCTTTTGACAAGCAAAGTCAATGGCAGAGTTGCTGGTGGCCAAGTGCTAAGGCGGGACTTCCTTTCCTCCCTCCCTTCCCTGCCTTCCTTTTTCTCATTCCCATCTCCTTCTGAAGGAAGAATTTGAACCTCCCCCTCCCCCCCGTATTTTCCCTCTTCCATATATTCATCAAACAAGGAAAAGCCTCCAGAGACAGAAAAGACAAACTGCTGAATGAACTAGCTTAAAAAGGCACATTCCCCTTTAAGAATTAGCTACTGGCTAGAAAGGAAAGTTAAGGTGTATAGCCGGCACTTAAGGAAGAAAAAACAATGTTGCCGGCTAAGGCAGCCTCCCCAAATGGCTCCATTCATAAGTAAAGGAATGCTACAGGCAAAATCCATTTAGGAGAAAAATACTTCAAAATCCCTTGCAGCAAAACTTACAGCTAACAATAGCAGAGCAATAGAAGCTAACACGAGACATCAGCCATCAGCCAAATAGAAATTGCCAAACACTCCTTAAGAACACAACCCCCACATTGCACAAATCCCAGAACTTCAAAGTCACAAAAGTACATAAGAATCCTTCCACACTCCATCTCCCTCCCTCCCCTGTGCCTCACCTCCAGCCATTGCTGCCTTTTTTCATTCCTCTTGGAAGGCGACCCCTCCCCCCACTGCATTTCTTGCCTTTTTGCTGCTGCCAGCACAGGTGGCTGCCACAGCAGTTGTAGATTGGTTCATGGGCGGTCCTCCTCCTTCTTTCCCTTCGGTGCAGCTAGAGCTGACTCCACCTCCTCCCAAGGCTGCTGCTTTCTCTCTCTCTCTCTCTCTCCCCCCACCTCCAAACTGCCTCCTTTTATAGCCTCTCCTGTCTCCGCCCCCCCTCCTCCTTTCTCATGGGGGAGGGTGAGCCTGGGGCCTTTGCAGCTCCAGAGGACTCTCTCACTGTAAGTCCTTGCCTGCGCCTCCCCCACTACACTTGGCTAGGCAGGGCTGTGTACCACCTGCCACTCATTAATGTACCACAAGTGGTACGCGTACCACCGGTTGAAAAACCCTGCCATAGATGGCATTGTAACATCAGGTACCACTTCACATCAGTATAAAAATGAAGGTGAAGGCAGGGTGTATTTAACAGCCACATCTTCCCTTTCCCTGTTTTTTTTTTATTATTATTTCTTCTGGATTTTTAACCATTTGCTGGATGTATTTTCACATTCAAAAAAATTTATGCTATTTTGTAATCTTCTGTTTTCTGATAAGCATTATCTTAATATGGGTTTGGGAAACACAAAGCAGAAGTAGGCAAGCTTTTGATGGCTCAGGGACTGTTCTTAATTTTGTGGGTGGAGAGGTGTCTAGAGATGGCAGAAGGATGGTTCCAAATAGACAATGCCATATCATAGATATTAATATTTGATTTTTGAGGGAGAGGGAGGCTAGAGAGGATCCTTCCTTCCTTCCTTCCTTCCTTCTTTCCTTCCTTCCTTCCTGCCTTCCTGCCTTCCTTCCTTCCTTTGCCATTTTTGTTGAGTTCCCCTCTGCTAGAAAACAGTGCCTCTGTCTTGGAGAGGTTATAATTGGAGTGCGATCCAGAGGCCTCAAATTGGAGCTTCGAGATCTCAGACAACTTTGAGATGATAAACTGTTCACTCCTGATATAAACAAAAGGGGCAAAAAAAAAAAAAGGTCTGCTGCTGCTGTTGGAAATAGAACCTCTAGACCAGTGATGGCGAACCTTTTAGAGACCAAGTGCCCAAACCGCAACCCAAAACCCAATTATTTATCTCAAAGTGCCAGGGCTGCATCAGCATTGTGGTGCCCTCAGGGGGGGGCAGGTGGTGTGGCCCACTGGGTGGGAGTGGCTGCGGTGGTGATGGCAGACTGAGTGGACATGGCCGGGGTGGACATGGCCACCTTGATGTTGCTTGTGGGGGAACGCCTGTGGGGGCTGGGCAGGATTGGGGGAGATCCAGGGGGTTTCTGGTGGGTGGGGCGGTGGGCAGGAGGCTCGTCTTGCAGGGTGAAGCAAGGGGTAGGGCGGGGGTGCCATTGCTATGGGGCAAGGTGAGGCAGGGGCAGCTGCAGCCCCCGCACAAAGAGGCCAGCGAGCGCATGGGGGCGTGCTCTACCACCTCTACTGGAGCTTGCTAGCCAGTTGCTTCGCCTCCTTTGTGCTGGGTGGGGCTGCCGGTCCAGGTGCCAGCGGTGGCCTAATGGACCTGCACGAGCTGGCGGCGGCGGCAGGTGTGCCCACAGAGAGGGTTCTGAGTGCCGCCTGTGGCACGCGTGCCATAGGTTCGCCATCACTCCTCTAGACACTGTTTCTCAACTTTAAGCATGTTGCCTGGGGAATTCTGGGAGTTGAAGTCCATGTGTATCTTGAATCTGCTGAGGTTGAGAAACACTGCTGTAAATGATACTGCATCTCCACCAGAAGTCAGAAGAGGATCAGTTTCACAAAAAGATGTTGCTAAAACTGGGCCGAAAAAATGTGTGCAGGTAGGTCAATACACTTTCCCAGTTCCCATCACTTTACAACTTTAACCTCTCCCCCCTCCCCCCCTCCGTTTCTTTAAACAATTAAATAATTATTTGGTTCCATTAGTACCAATCATTGATATCAGAAAGAAATTGAATTACTGGAGAGATTTCATGAAGAAGAGAGGTTGATTTATTGTGTGGCTTGTGGCAGAAGACTGGTCAGAGACGCACATGAGGAGTCAGGGAGTGGGAAAGGAAAGCATTCAACTCAACACAAAACAACACAAGGAAAGAAAGGATGAGATGTAATCAGCAGTCACTTCTGTTGCCAGGGAGATTTTCAGATTGGGCTCCACATGCTGAGTTGATTCCCTTTTACTTCCAGCGACCACCAAGCCTGGTTTTTCCAGCACCCTTTTTGCTGTGGAGGAGAATACACACACACACACATGCACACACGCACACGCACATGCACACACACACACACACACACACACACACATTACAATGTGTGGTTATTAACAGCAAACATTTTTGTACAATATTCACACAGAGATGTATAATTTTTGTGTGAAATTCAAACCAAAATTCTAATATATGAATATGCATTTATTCATGAAAGTTGTAGAACAGAAGATGGATTTGCATTTAAGATAATTGCCACACAAGAAAAGTAGAAGAAAAAACATATAAACGAAGAATTTATTTTTTTTTTGCAATACCTGGCTTCCCTGCCATGTTGAAACAGTAAATACATAAATAGTTCAATTTATAGAAATAACTGATCCTTTATCTATATATCCTACTATTATATCTTATATATACTGTACAATAATCGATTTTCATACGCTGCAGGCACAAATGCAAGCATTCAAGTTTCCATTCTTTCTTTAGCAAAACAGAAGAGGGAAGGGACAGAGGGAGGAGAGGGAGCAAAGAAATAGTTATACTGAAAAGAAAAGGGAAATAAGAGAACAAGAGATGGAGAGGAGGCAAGAGGAATGGGAAAACCCAGTTTAACCATTATATTAAGGGTTAAAATTCACCAGGCAAGCTGTGCCTCCCAAATCATTGATGACCACTAATTTGCAAAGAGATTCATCTTCAAAATTATGTCTGCTGCCTTTTTCACCTCCACTTATTGGTGCTCGCTTTTAATATTTTTTATTCTTCTCACAATATAATATTCTCTCATCCATACACAAATACTTTGAAGGGGAAAAACACCTTCCTATTGGATAAATAAAGGTAAAGGAGTCCCTGCAGATTTTATTCCGCCAGTCCAGAGGTAGATAACCTTGGCTCTTTTATGACTCGTGGACTTCAACTCCCAGAATTCCTGAGCCAGCATGGCTCAGCTTGGAAACCTCTCCTTTTCTCCTCAGCATGGCTGGCTCGGGAATTCTGGGAGTTGAAGTCCACGAGTCATAAAAGAGCCAAGGTTGCCTACCCCTGCGCTAGTCAATACCAACTAAAGGGGAGCATTGCTCATCTCCATTTCAAGGCCATTGAGCCAGCTCTGTCCAAAGACATTTCGGCACTCATGTGGCCAGCATGGCATCCCAGAGAGCTGTTAACTTCCCACTGAAGTGGTACCCATTTATCTACTCGCATTTGCTAGGTTGGTAGGAGCTGGGACAAGGACGGGAGCTCACCCCATCATGTGGAGCTCAGGTCTCAAACCTGGACTGCCTGCTTTCCAACCAACAAGCCCAGTATCTTAACCGCTGAGCCATGATAACGCTCTATTGGGTAAATCAGGGGTAGTCAACCTTGGCTCTTTTATGACTCGTGGACTTCAACTCCCAGAATTCCTGAGCCAGCATAGCTGGCTCAGGAATTCTGGGAGTTGAAGTCCACGAGTCATAAAAGAGCCAAGGTTGACTACCCCTGGGGTAAATGCAAAAATGCATATATTTAGTGGAGCTAATAGGATATATGACAGGGAAAATGCATTAGAACGTTGGAGTCATCTCTCTCTTTTTAAACAGTAGAATGAAGCAAAATAACTTAATAACTCAATTGCAGCTTCATTCACATCTCCATGATGGGGACCTTGACATTTAAACACCCATTTTACAAAAATTGAAACATCTGAATTAGAACAAAGTAATCTGTTCATTTTCCCCCCTGAACCTTAGGGCAAACTTTCCTAATTCAGCTTTCTTCAATAGGTTGGAGTAAACTAAAGTTTCTCATCCTTGTTGGCATAAAGATGCATGGACTTTAACTCCCAGAATTTTCCAGTCAGCTTGAACCTGACAAGGTTGAGAAACGCTAGACTAAACTAACACAATCTTCAGCCAACATTAAGGGGAGGAACAATGTTTATTTTAGAGCATCCAGCAATGTGACCTTGGAGGGGTAAGCAAAAAGATAATTTTTCTCATGCCCAAACAAATCAGAAGGAGGTTGGCAAGATGAGCCCAATAGCTGATAGGAAATTAAGTTTTCCTCCTGAGTTTTGTATAGGTAGTTCTAAAAAGAACTTCATTTCCCACAAGTTTTAGAGTTAATAGTCTCTGTTATGTCTGTTTGTGGCTATGGAAAAAGTGCCATTGATTAGTCTGTAAGAAACATGGAAAGTAAAAAAAAGGAAAAAAAGAAAATATAGCAATCAAAGCACATGGTAGTCTAGAAATTCTGTAATTGAACAAAGATACACAGTTTGTCTTGGGACACAACAGGCAGTGTCTAGTTTGGCTTGTCTATTCCTACATTAAAAATATTGGCTTTCCACTGGTGAAAATGTATAAAAATAAGGGGAAGGGAACTTGAGTTAGAAAAGGGGTTGGATTAGTGTTGTTCCCAGTCACACACAGGTTACTCACAACTTCTGGGCGTGGCTGATGCGGTTGTACAGAACATTGATCTGGAGGGGGAAGACAAAAATAAATAGAATTGAAATTACGTTAATATGATGTCAGCATCACAGAAGGCTCCATCTTTAAGAATAACTTTGGCTTTTAATGTTCCCTTTTTATATAAGCAACTATAAATAGTTCACCATGCTTACTCAGTAATGTGTCCAAGTAATTCATTTTTTTGACACAGTTTATGACAAATTTAGCTAAGACTGACATTAAGAACAGACACTGGATAGATAGTAATATGCTTGCAGATATCAAAAAGATTATTGGTATCATAATGGGCTGGCCAGAAGACAGGATACTTCCATATTTGGATACTTTGGTCCTTCTAGCACAGTGGTTCTCAACCTGTGGGTCGGGACCCCATTTGGGGTCAATCGACCATTTCACAGGGGTCGCCAAGCAAGGCTGTCCGCCATTTTTTTTGTCCGCCATTTTTTTTGTCTGCCATTTTTTCCCCTTTTCCGGCGGGTGCCTTGGGCTGGGCCAGCTGGTGGTCGGCCTGCTCCGTCTCTGCCGCTTGCCAGCTACGCCTCGGCCGGCGCAGGGGGCGGAAACATGCGTGCGTGGCGCTCCCGGACAGGGAAAGTCCTCGACTTACAACCGGTTGGGTAGTCCTCGACTTACGGTTGGGGTCACGGCATTAAAAAGGTTGAGAACCACTGTTCTAGCACATGGACGATGGTGGTCTTGATTGTAGCCTTGACATACAACAGAGAGTAGTACAAGTAATCCTAGAGTTATGACCACAATTGAGCCCACAACAACAAATTTCTGGTGTTAAGTGAAACCTAATGTTACTCTTCAAAGAACTTTGAGGCATTATTTACCTTAAAGAATCTTTATTCAAATAATATGGCATCAGCCACGTACATGGTCGAAGCCAAAATCTGAATTTCCCTCCCCTAAACACATAGTATCAAAGCACAATTCCCTCCTTCAATTAACTGTCATAAATCACATTCTCCAATTAGTTTGAAATGCAAACCTTCCCTCCAGTTCTATAACTGGCCATTCCTTATCATCTCTTATTTCAAACAACGTTGAAGAATACTCTACTGCGATGTTGTTATGGCTGTCTAATCCCCATACACGTTCTTCCCTCTCTCCCCAGCATCATCTAATTCTAACTCTAAAAGTAACAAACAGGTTAAAGAGAAAATGGCTGCATCTTCGTATATTGTTAAAGCAAGAACATCCGATGTTAGCAGCATTGACAAAACCTTTGCTAAATGAGTTGTGCCCCATTTTACAACCTTTCTTGTCACAGTTGTTAAATGAATCCCTAAAATCATTAAGTTAATAACATGATTGTTAAGTTGATCTGGTTACCCAATGACTTTGCTTGCTAGAAAGTTACAAATGATCCCAGGACACTGTGACCATCATAAATATGAGTCAGTTGCCGAGTATCTGAATTTTGATCACGTAACCATGGGAATAAAGCAATGATCACAAGTGTGAAAAATGGTCATAAGTCACTTTTTTCAGGGCAGTTGTAACTTTGAATGGTCACTAAATGAACTATTGTAACTACTTGTATTTAGACTCTCTTTTGATTTTCTAAAACAGTTCCTTATTCCACGTGCTCTGTTCTCCAACAGGCCGTGTCTTTCTGTATACAGGTAATCCTTGACTTACAACCAGTTTTTTAGTGACCATTCAAACTTACAACAGCATAAAAACCCGAGACTTATGACTATTTTTCCTACTTATGACCATTGCAGCATCGCCTGGTCACATGCTTAAAATTCAGATGCTGGGCAACTGATTCATATTTATGACCGTTGTAGTGTGCCAAAGTCGTGTGATCACCTTTTGTGATCTTCTGACAAATAAAGTCAATGGGGAAGTCAGATTCACTTAACAACCATGTTAATTAATTTAACAACTGCAGTAATTCACTTGACACCAATGGCAAGAAAGGTCATAAAATGGGGCAAAACTCACTTAACAACTATCTGGCTTAGCAGTAGAAATTTTGGGCTCAATTGTGATTGTTCGTTGAGGACTACCTGTACAACCTTTTATCCTAGAAACGCTCCGGTTACTTTATTCCATGGAAAGGGATTACAGGGAAAGAAGTGACATCTCTGAAACTTCTTACCATTTCAAAATTTCATTACATATATACCAGCACCAAAAAAGAAGATTTTTAAAAGGAACAAATATCTTAAATATTTGGGATATTTATATCAGGATACCAGAAGGGTGTGATTAATCACTCTTTAAGAATGATTAATGAAATTTTACATTAGGATTAAGAGGCCCAAAACATTGAATCTAGAAGATGCAGCATCGGAGAAAGGTAGAAATTAAAAGATGAGAAAGATTTCCCTTCTCTACCAAGAAATTCTATTAACGTGGGAGAAACTTATAACTTTCTAGCATTTCATGATGCCCTTCTGAAATATGTTGCTTCAGATCGACCAGCTTCTCCAAAACTGGAGGAGGCCAAAACTGCTTTCATCATCCCACCCACCCCCCCCCAACCCGCTGTCTTCTTACCTCGTATTTTTGACGTCTGAGTTTCTCCATCAGATCAAACTTCTCTGATTCTAAATGATGGATCCAATCATGGAGCTCCTTAGCCTTTTCCCTGGAGACACAGGAAAATGTGATCCTCTGTTATGCCACAGCAGCCTACAGCCTAGATCTCCTACCCACCCCACCCTAGGAAAGCAATCACACAAGAGTTCTCCTCTGGGTCCCACCTCAGCTGTTGCTCGCTTAGGTTCTCTATGTTCAAAGTTTTTCGTCGCTCTGTTAAGATCCGGATCTTCATTTCTCGGCCAGTCTGCCGCTTTCCACGTTTTTGCTCTGCCTGAAAAATTAAATAACAGAGTAACAAGAGTTGGAAGGGACTTTGGAGGTCTTCTAGTCCAACTCTCTGCTCAAGCAGGAAACCCTGTACCATTTCAGTCAAATGATTGTCCAATCTCTTCTTAAAAACTTCCAGTGTTGGAACACCCACAACGTCTGGAGGCAGGTTGTTCCACTGATTAATTGTTCTGTCAGGAAATTTCTCCTTAGTTCTAGGTTGCTTCTCTCCTTGATTAGTTTCCATCCGTTGCTTCTTGTCCTGCCTTCAGGTACTTTGGAGAATCGGTTGATTCCCTCTTCTTTGTGACAGCCTCTGAGATATTGGAACACTGCTATCATGTCCCCCCTCATCCTTCTCTTCATTAAACTAGACACACCCAATTCCAGCAGCCGTTCCTTATATGTTTTAGCCTCCAGTCCCCTAATCATCTTTGTTGCTCTTCTCTGTACTTTCTAGAGTCTCAACATCTTTTTTACATCGTGGTGACCAAAACTGGATGCAGTAGTCCAAGTGTGGCCTTACCAAGGCGTTGTAAAGTGGTATTAATACTTCACGTGATCTTGATTCTATCCCTCTATTAATGCAGCCTAGCACTGTGCTGGCTTTTTTGGCAGCTGCAGCACACTGCTGGCTCACATTTAAATGATTGTCCACTAGGACTCTGAGATCCCTCTCACAGTTACTACTATTGAGTACCCCCTATACTATGTCATGTTGACGTTCTCTCATAAGCTCATGCCAGAGTAGCCTTAGTACATAAGATCTCAGAAGTACCTTTGCCATTTCTTGAAATGGTAGTTTACTTCTTAGACACTATTATAATATACATTACGTTGCATTACATTTTTGTTGGGCACCAGGAGAATAAGATCAGGGTTCTACTCCCCATTGTATCATCTATCAAATCAAAACCATTTGATTACGCCCACCATAACAGACAGAACATTTTTATGGGATTATATTTTGCAGTAAAGGGTTCACGTGCAGCTTCATCTTGATGCCTCCTTCTGAAAGAATAAAATGAAATTGAGGTTCCCCTCCCAAGTGAAGCCACCACAAGCTTACCTTGATCAGGTATCCACCAAAGTGAGCTCCCATGTTGGAGAGCACTTTCTTCTTCTTAGCGTCATCTTCAGCTCTTTTCTTGGCCTCTTCTTCCTCTTTCCTCATCTTTTCTTCCTGCAAAGGAGGACACCATGGAGAACATTATCCCTGCTACCTCTTGGGAGGAATCCCCAGCGTGCCCCTTCTTTATCAGACAGAAAACTATGGAGACTCCAGGCTGTGCGAGGATTTCCAAGAATCTTTAGTGTGGCCTTCCAAAACTTTCCTTAAATTGTCAGCAAATGGGCCAGTCTTAACCCAGCAGATGGGGGAATGGTTTAAGATACCAATAGTAATCATACTCACTGAATTGTATTTCATTGGTTTAATTACATTTAAATTAAAATTATATATTCTCCTGCTCTTTTCCATTTTTTAAGTCTTATCTCAGTTACCAGATTGTAACAGGACATTGAAAAGCCAACTGGGGCTCTTGTTTTGAAATGTTGCCACCAAGAATATTCAACTATTGTTGTCTGGTTATGAATGTTTGAAGAATTTTAGCTCTGTAAATTGATATACAAAATGCCCAGATTCACAGAGATTGGAGCACATGAATGTTTTCATATATTTTTGAGTGCAGAGAAGGGCGTGCAAGTAGACATACAGGTGTGATAGAGATGTCTGTGGGGACAGACTCCTTTCTTCCTTCCTTCCAAAATAAAAATGATTGGCCCTACACAAAAATGACAAAGTAAAACTGTAGCAACCAATTTTAAGGCTGTCTCCAACATATGGCACCGCTAAACAGCTGCTGTGGCCCTAGAGCCATTCAAAACAACAGATTTCTCACAATGCATTTAGTGCAGCATTATGCACTGTAGGAAAACCAAAACAGATTGGGCCACTAAGAACCCACTCAAATGTGTAGCTTCCATTCAAGAGACCTCCACTGCCAGCCGAATACTAGGGAATGCTCCTAAGTTAGCTTTCAGATTGTGTTTCTCCCCTTCGCTCAGTGAAAGGTCTCATATGCTAAAATTTGTACCTTCTCTCTTGCTGACTCCATCTTTTTTTTTAAAAAAAAACCCATTGTAAATAGTGTGAATAAAAATATCGATAACGGAATAGTGAGGCCGCTTGTTAGAATTTTTGCCAGATTTTAGGTTTGATTCTCCAGGGCACTGGAGGTTTGATTCTCCAGGCCATCAAGCCATAAAGTTTGGGGATGGCGGTTCTAAAGAACTTAAAATTACAGATACCTCCGAGTTTGCTAAGCATACTGTTTAGTTAATACGTTTGCATTACATTGTCAAGCATGTATTGAAGGCAATTCAAACTCAGAAGACAATCTTTCGAAATCTTTAAAATAATTACTAAAAATCAACCAATTTAAAGTGTTAATTCCTTGTTTTAGCACAGACGTTCCAATAAAACATCTTCCTGGCTATTTTCAGACTTCAGTTAGATCACAATGTTGACTTCTCATGTGATTCAGAGTCAAATTGCAGTTTCTCACTTATTGATCACCAAATATACTTAGTTGGTTTAAAAGGAAGCTGAAAATGAAGAGCCTAAATTAATAAATTTAATGCCTTACTACCTGCTGAGATTTCAAAGGTTTTATACTGTGGAGTTCTTGGTGTTCTCTGAGCTTGATTGTTTGCTTGCAGACCTCTCATTACCCAACTAGGTGACATCATCAGTGCATCGTCAACAGTTTTATACTCTCTCCTGCTTCATCTTAAAACAGGGCTCTTCAAACTTGGCCCTTTTATGACTTGTGGACTTCAATTCCCAGAATTCCTCAGCCAGGCACACTGGCTGAGGAATTCTGGGAGTTGAAGTCCACAAGTTATAAAAGGGTCACATTTGACGACCCTTGTCCTAAAAGATTATGATACTTACAGCAAGCTTGGCCTGCCGCTCCCGTTCTTTCTCAGTGCGGACTCGTTGTTGTTCGGCACGCTCTGCCCTACGATGTTCCTGTCAAAGGACACAAACGATGACTCGGACTCTGTGGCATTCAGTCAGGTGAATTCACCAAAGCCAATTTCAGCCAAGGGCAAGAGGATATTTTCCCCACTCCCTTCCTTTCAGAAAATGGCGGGACTCTATTGGCACATGAAAGCACGCTATGTACAGGCGGTCGTCCACTTAAGACTGTAATGGAGCCTGGAATGTCTGTCACGATGGGTCATAAGTCAAGGCACCTACGTGATTGAACTCAATGTTAGGATGTTTTGCGGTGATCATTAATTGAATGTTAGGTTCTTTAAGTGAATGTGTTCGTCATTAAGCAAATGTTGTAGTCGTTAAATGAATCAGTGTATTTCTAGGAGCATTTTTGGCGGGAAAGTGACCGAAGAGGCCAGAAACTGGGGGGGGGGGGGAAATCTTACAAATCATGGTCATGTGATCGTAGAATGCTGCAAATGGTTGTAAAACTGAATCAGTGTCCTAGTGGTCAAAATGGGGTAATGTCAGTGGTGGGATTCAGCCGATTCGCACCACTTCGGCAGAACCGGTAGCTAATTTTTTGTTGCCCAGGCCCAGAATGGACTTCCAGAAGCGGCATCCACACAGAGAACCGGTTGTTCTCATATTTGAATCTCACCACTGAGTAATGTGACCACATGGGGGTGTACAACTATCAGAAATCTGAAACCAGGTCATAAATAACTTTTGGGAAGTCTATTGTAACTTCAAATGGTCGCTAAGTGACCAGTTATTAAATAATCATCTATATTTGAGAATTTCTCACATCTAGGTTTTCTGGCATCAAAAGACATGCTTCACAACATGCCACTGGACATATGCTTTTTGGTTTTTGGAGACTTCTATCTGAGAAATGTAATTCCAAATAAATCCAGGTTTTGCTCACCCCATAATTTCAGGAATGATTATACTTAATTATCCGGGAATGCAACTACGGATAGTCCTTGATTTACAACCATTTGTTCAGCAGCCATTTGAAAATACAATGGCATTGGAAAAAGTGACTTCTGACTGTTCCTCACACTTATGACCAATGCAACCTCCTCATGGCCATGTGATCAAAATTTACGGCGGTTGCAATGTTTTGAGGTCATAGGATGGCTGTTTGCGACCTTTCCCAGCTGGCTTCTGAAAGCAAAGCCAACGGAAGAAGCTGGATTCGCTTAATGACTATAGATAGTCCTTGACTTACGGCAGTTCGTTTAGTGACCGTTCAAAGTTACAAACAGCACTGAAAAATGTTATTTATGACCATTTTTCACAGTTATGACCTTTACAGCATCCCCATAGTCCAGTGATCAAAATTCGGACACTTGGCAACTGATTCATACTTATGACGGTTGCAGTGTCTCAGGGTCATGTGATCCCCTTTTGCAACCTTCTGATAAGCAGAGTCAGTAGGGAAGCCAGATTCACTTAACAACCATGATTTATCAACTGCAGTGATTCACTTAACAACTATTGCAAGAAAGGTCATAAAATGGGGTAAAACTCTCTTAACAAATGTTTCCCTTAACAACAGAAAATTTGGGCTCAATTGTGGTCCTAAGGACTACCTGTATGTGATTCACTTAATAATTGCATTGATTTGCTTAACAACCATCCAAAAAAGTTGTAAAATCGGTCACGGCTCACTTAACAACCAACTTGCTTAGCAACAGAAATTCTGGTCCCAGTTGTGGTTGCAAGCCGAGGACTAACCGTATCTTATCTTTTGGAGTCAACTTGCATCATGGTGCCTAATCAGCCACCAGGTGGCAGTGAAGAGCAACATTTTGTTCCCTTGGAAAATTTTCAATGAATGATTTATTCAGACTGTGCAGGTCCAGTTTTAGACTGAGTGTTAGAAGTCAAATTATATTTGCCTGTTCCCAACTTCCCTGAGTGGGAAGGCAGTTACAAAGACAGTTCTACTTATTATAGTTGGCAGAGATGATGGAAAATTACAATAGAAAAAAAAACCAAAATAGGAAATTAATCGGGTAATAGAGGTAGTCCTCAACTTACAACAGTTCGTTTAGTGACCGTTCAAAGTTACAACAGCACGGAAAAGTGCATGCAACCTCCTCACTAGCCAAGTCAGTGGGGAAGCCAGATTCACTTAACAAACTGGTTACTAAACTGCAGTGATTCACTTAACCACTGTGGCAAGAAAGGTCGCAAAGTAGGGCAAAACTCACTTGACAAATCTTTCACCTAACAATAGAAAGTTTGGGCCCAATTGTGGTCGTAAGTCGAGGAGTACCTGTATACAAGCCGAGTATAAATGGAAGAAAATAAATGGAGGCTAAACTGTAAAGGATGAGCCATTTTAGTGCAGAGGTGAAGGCACCTGGCTGGAAACCAGGAGGCTGTGAGTTCTAATCCTGCCTTAAACAGAAAGTCAGTTGAGTGACTTTGGGCCAGTCATTCTCTCTCAATTCTAGGAAGGAGGCAATGGCAAACCTCTTTTGAAAAAAAAAATGATTCTAAGAAAAGTGCAAGGACTAGTCCAGGCAGTTGCCAAAAGTCAATGCTGCTGCTTTGAAATCACAAATCAACCTAAAATATATTCTAAAAAAGGTTTCATGTAAATGAAACTATAAAAAACTTACCCAAATGCACAACCCCCTCAACCCCCCCCCCCCCCAAAAAAAAACCCCACCAGGATAAAACTAGAGATAATAATACAAGGCCATCTATTATAAACCTATAGAAAGCTTTCCTCCCACTAGCAATGCATTCAAAGAACAATGGCACCAGGAAAGAGACAGACAAGCACCAAGTTCAGTGATGTGCAGTCTGGTTCACTTAGGGCAGGGGTAGGCAACCTTGGCTCTTTTAATGACTCGTGGACTTCAACTCCCAGAATTCCTGAACCAGCATGGAAACCTCTCCCTTTCCCCATGGCTGGCTCAGGAATTCTGGGAGTTGCCTACCCCTGATTTAAGGGCCCCTCCGGAGTTGGACTGTATGGACCCTTGGGCTTGCCAGTAATTGAGCCGTTTGGTGTAGCAGTTCAAGCCCTGGATTAGGAATGGGAGAAACCCCCAAGTGCTTAGCCCTACTTTAAATAAAGAAGCTAGCTGGGAAATTGATGGTCACAAAATCACATGAAGTATTAGTACCACTTTATAAATCCTTAGTAAGACCACACCTGGAATACTGCATCCAGTTTTGGTCACCCCCTTGCAAAAAAGATGTTGAGACTTTGGAAAAAGTGCAAAGAAGAACAACTAAGATGATTAAGGGCCTGGAGACAAAACGTACGAAGAGCGGTTGCAGGAATTGGGTATGGCCAGTCTAGAGAAAAGAAGGACTAAGGGGGACATGATAGCAGTATTCCAGTATTTGAGGGGCTGCCCCAAAGAAGAGAGGGGGGGGCTTATTTTCCAAAGCACCAGAAGGCAAGAAAAGAAACAATGAATGGAAACTAATCAAGGAGAGAAGCAATGTGGAATTAAAGAGAAAGTTCCTAACAGTGAGAACAATTAATCAGTGGAACAAGCTTGTCTTCAGATGTTGTGGGTGCTTCATCACTGGAGGTTTTTAAGAAGAGACTGGACCTGTCTGAAATGGTAGGGTCTCCTGCTTGAGCAGGGGGTTGGACTGGAAGACCTCCAAGGTCCCTTCCAGCACTATTCTGATTGGTTGACTAACTTGCTTTAAAGTACTCCGTGCTGCCTAGCCAAAGATGGAGGAAGAGAAGAAGGAAAGTCTGGTCAAAGGGAAGATTGAAACAATGGCAACAGGCAACCGAAATAGGGGTATTGGTGACATAACAAGAGCTGGAAATGAACCAGCCACAGGGGAGGAGAAAGGAGGAAGATCGGGCTGGATTCTGGAGAGACCAGATAGGAAAAGGAAGTAGAAAGAATGGAGCTAGTTAGGAAGGAAGGAGTTAGGAAGTTTGCAGTGGGCTGCTGCGAATAATGGATGGAAGGTTAAGAAGGGTGAGAGGATCCAATGGAGAGGATCCACTGGCTCAGGAATTCTGGGAGTTGAAGTCCTCGAGTCATAAAAGAGCCAAGGTTGCCTACCCCTGCCCTAGGGAGAAGGCGACAGCAAGCCTCCTCTGAAAACCTTGCCAAAAAAGTTGGCCATGTCCACGTGGATGCCGGATCTCAACGTTGACTCAAACACGGAAAACATAAAAGCTGACCTCACCCTGGCAGATCCTGTAGCCTACAAGGTTAAATAAATAAAGGAATTAGGCTGAGATTATAATTCATGTAGCAATAGCTTTGTTAGCTTTTAAGGTGCCACAAGGCTGCTTCTTGCATAAATTAATGTGCCTTCCGTTCAATCTGTCTGCCAATATTTGGTTTCTTTAATGCAAATGCAATACGTGATGTGCAAACACAGCCGGGATAGAGGCACATTTGGCAGGGTGTGTGTGTGTGTGTGTGTGCCGTGCTTATGTGTCCATGGAGGGCCAGCCATGGAGGAACTCCAGGGGGTCGCACAGCTGTGCTGGGGATGCTGGGGTTAAGTAGGAGCGACATTATTGTGGCACTGAATTGTCCCATTCTGTTCTAGATGCCTATCTTCATTTGGAACCGATTGGTTAGTCTTCAAAGCCTAAAGGGGGCAGACAAGGAGTCCTGGGGGCTTGCTGGATCAGCTTCAACCAGAGTAGAAGCTTCAACACTCCTGGAATCACAGTCTCCAGGACTATCATCCCTAGATGCCCTTGCCTCTATCTTGGCTTTAAGCCTATCGAAGAGAAGGATTAAGGGGAGAGATGATAACTGTCTTCCAGTGCTTGGAAGAATGCTGCTACTGTCACAGAGAAGAGGGGATTGACTTATTCTCCAGAGCATCAGAGGGCTGGACAAGAAGCCATGGGGGGAAGCTTGTTAAAGAGAAGTAAGGAGAAATGTTCTGACAGTGAGAACAGTTAATCAGTGGAATAGCTTGTGGATGCTCCATCACTGGAGGTTTTCAAAAATAGACTGGACAACCATTTGACCAGGATGGTATAAAGTCACCTGCCTTGAGCAAGGGGTTGGACTAGAAGACCTCTGATATCCCTTCCAGCCCTATGAGTTTATGTTCTATGTTCTGCTTCCTCCTCCCCTTTCAAGGACTGGTCCAGCAGGCCATTACACCGCCCTGCCCCGGGGCCTGCTGAAAGAGCCAAGTCCTCAGGGCTTTGCAGAACCATGGTGGGGTCAGACTGTATGGACTACGAAGTTACGATGGTCTTATAAAAAGTGAGTTATTATTACCCATCCTCGAAGTTATGACCATAGCATCATCCCTGTGATGGTGTGATCACAATTCAGGTGCTTAGCACTGAATTGCACCCATTTATGAAGTTTGCAGCATCTTCTGGTCACATGGTCGTGATTTGACACCTCTCCAGCTTCCTTCCAAAATGCAAAGTCAATTGGGGAACCCAAGTTGCTTAACAACTGCATGATTCACTTAACAACATAAGATTTGCTTAACAACTGCGATTAAAATGGTAGTCAAGTCAAGTCTGGTCATGTAATGACTCGCTTAATGACCACATCATTTCGTAACCAAAATTCTAGTCTCGGCTGTGGTCATAAATCAAGGACTACCTGTACTTTTGTATGTATATAATTCTGTAACATATATATTTGGCCTGAGAGTGTAGATGTGAATATTCATGTATGAAAGAGCAAGGTACTGTAGTTGTATTTGACAAGGAAATTACAGTAAACAATTGCAAATTTTACATAAATGATGAAAAACTGGAGTACGTAGGCAGGATTAAGCTTTTATTCAAGAAAAGTATGGATAGAGAAATTGAAAGATGTACAAACCCTGGTCAAAGAATAATGGATGATAATGGATGATACATGATCTGTGTGAGCTGTGCATATTTCTCAAGCTTCAAAAAAGTGGAAGGTGCTTCTTCCACTTTTTTACATGGAAGTGCAAGGTGAACATATCAGGAGAAGTAGAAAAGAAAGCTGGCATGGAGTTATTAAGAGGCATGTGAAGTAGAACAAGAAGTAAAGTGAAGAATGAATAGGTGCTGAATTAATGTGGACTGGACAGAAAAATATCCAGTCCATATTAGTACAGAAAAAAATGAATATGAAAGAACTGTACTGATGTGGTTTGGTCACATAAAGACAATGAATGAGATTCAGATTGCAAACCAAGTACATGAAAGAACAGCAAATAGATTTTAAAAAAATGGGAAGACTGAGAAAGTCATGGCTGGACAGAATGATTTCATATTTATAACAAAAAAGATGAATTTAAAGAACAAAAGACAGTGTATGAATTGGAGCATAGATATGGTGGAAACAGGGATGATTTGCAAGGAGGGAATATTATGATATTATGCAAAATCTTTTCACAATTTGGATAATACTGATACAGTTTGTGTCTGCCTATCTGTCTGACATATTTTAAGGCAGTGTTTCCCAACCTTGGCAACTTTAAGATAAGTGGACTTCAACTCCCAGAATCCTCCAGTCAAGCATGGTCTCTAGACAAGACAGGAAGCTCTGGAAGACCGGTCTTGGGATTTCTTTTGCTTACTCCTTGAAATATTTGCCAACTGCCAAGAACCCATTCAGAATTTTATCTAGTGGTAGGCAGCCCAGAAAAATGAACTAAGTCAAACAGATATGTAAAAGGATAACGTGGCCACCACTTTAGCATCAAGCTACACACAAAACTGTGCTGGCTAGAACTCACAATCCTTGACATGAGGCCCACAAGTTCTTCCTCTTCTTTTTTCCTCTGCTCAAAGTGTACGTCAATGAGAGTTTGCAGTTCCAGGAGGTCTTTCTCCATACGCTTGCGGTGGATGTCCTGTTTACCATTATCAGAAAGAAAAAGAGATTATAAATAGTGAAAAGTATGCCGTTCTAATATCTCTGAAGGACATTGCTGCCTGTTTATGTTTACCAAACTACTCCATCTGAAAGAATGACGTTCATTGGCAATAGTTGTAGATATGAAGGACTATGGAGAATGCCCATAAGCACACAAACTCATGTAAAAAAGATTATGAATGATTAAGAAAATACTCACATCAAAATCCACTCTCTCTCCCTCGGGGATTTTTGGAGGAGCTAACTGTGGAACCATTGGCCTTTGTTTGGGAGAGCACAGACCAAGAAAGAAGAATATTGTTAAACTGAAGTGTTCTTTTGGGTATCAATCCCACCTCCCCAACTATAAAATCTTTAAATAAATTCTTTCTCAACAATTGTATTATATTGATTGGTGAACAGAACTAAGACAAGTTGAATTATATTGAACACAATCAAGATAGGTTTTACAAAATGGATACAACTATGCTTATTACAGGTGGTCTTCAGCTTAGCAACCATTTGTTTAGCGGCCATCTGAAGTTACAAGAGTGCAGAAAAAAAGTAATTTGTGACCATTGTTCACACTCAGGACCGTTGCAGTATCCCCATGGTCATGTGATCAAAATTCAGGTGCCTGGCAACTGGCATGTATTTATGCCAGTTGCAGCTGTTCCAGAGTCATGGGATCACCGTTGTAACAAATGGTTGCAAGTGCTGTAATCACAACTTCTGATTGTAAGATAACACCACAGAGGAAAAATGGGATTCCACTGTAGAAAGACACAGGAGCTGAGAAAGGTGGAGAAAAATGATTGCAAGTCTAATGGAGTGTAACCGCTTACTCTTCCCCCTTCTTACCTTGGTCTGGGACGTTCTTCCTCTGTGAGAAACAGAAGATAGAAAGACAATTATTAGATGCAGAGAAAGAAGAAAACTTTGGATTGCGAAAGACTTGTCAGAGGTGATGCAGGAAACTGAATTATGCATAACCTTAACAAGGGATGGCATTCATTTCTACACATTCGTAACAAGAGGCCAGTTAAGTGACTGGTGATGTTGAATTTTCCTAGCTAGACCTGTATTTTGATAAAGTGACTTTTCTGCATTGGTCTGAATCGTAGGGGTGTTCTGGTGACTGCTGAGATGTGTTTTATACCTGGGCTGGATAGGCAGTCTTCACATTATTGTCATCATCTGCTGGGCTTCTAATCTGGGCACCCAGTATTTTGACCAGTGCTGGGGTGGACAACCTATCATCTTCCAATTGTTGCAGCAACACCAGTAAGTCCGAATAGGACAACGTGACACCGCCAACTCACCGCAACCAACTAACTGCAGCCCACACACCCACAGCCAATTCGCCATGAGACATTTCAACAAATACAAAAGTTATATTAATTTCAATGGAGCCATGGCCAATAATAATAAAATAAAAATAAATGTCAACCCAGAAATACAAGCGTTACAATAATTTTGACAAAAACGTGGTTACCAGTAACAAAAGTAACTGAATGAAACAATTAATACAGCGTTGAATTGTCCCATGGTGGGTTGTCCTGAAGTGAATTGGCCACAGCGAGTTGTCCGGTGGCAAGATGGCCTTGGCAAGATGGCCCTGACAAGTTGTCCTAAAACCCAAGTAAGCCAGGACAGTGGTGAGGGTTGCTGGAAATTATAGTTTGATGCAACCGGAGAGATCAAAATTGTCATCATCATTGGCCTTCTATAGGGCTGCTTACTTAAAGGGAAATTGTTCTGCCGTTTAAATTGCTACTGGTATTTAACCTCTCTTCGCCTAAAGCTCCCTCCTCTGTCCCCAAAAGTGGTTTGAAAACTGAGCCTAGAGATGAGCTGTAAATCTAACCCAAACCCCAGAAGTTACTACATGGAGATAGATAGGTACCAAACAAAATACAGTTTTCATGATCTGACATTGGTTTGATCACAGCCATGTCTATAGGTACTGAAAAATATCTACTGCCACCACTTGGGCTTCGATATGTTGCTTCCCTTATAGACATGGGAGGGTAATGCATGTTCTCAGATATATAGATACATAGCGAGATCACACTGCTACACACTACATGCATGTACCCAGAACATACATAGCACACAGACAGCATCAGAGGAGCACAGATGTATCTCTATAAAATATATCTGCCAGGCCTGTTCTTTTAGAAACCTGCATAAATCCTTTTCTTTTGGGGATGTGGATGGGTGGGAGGAGGAAATACAGGTAGTCCTTGACTTACAACCATTCTTTTAATGACCACTTAAAGTTACAACAGCACTGAAAAAAGTGACTTGTGACCATTTTTCACGCAACCGTTGCAACACCCCCTTTGTCACGTAATCAAAATTCAGACACTTGGCAGCTGGAATATATTTATGATGGTTGCAGTAACGTGGGGTCACGTGATGACCTTTCGTGACCTTCTGTCAAGCAAAGTCAATGGGGAAGCCAGATTCATTTAACAACTGCAGTGATTCACTTAAGAATTGTGGCAAGAAAGGTGGTAAAATGGGGCAAAAGTCATTTAACAACTGTCTTGCTTAGTACTGGAAATTTTGGGCTCAATTGTGGTTATAAGTCGAGGACTACCTGTACCTTGGAGGAGATGGAGTAAGAGCAGTGAGTGGATTTTTGGTGGACAAGGCCAAGAAGCCAATGGCTTTAGAATGGGCAGATGAAGGAAATAAGATGGCGGAGAGGAATGTCATTTCAAATCCATTCAACGCTTTACAACTTTCTTTTACCACTGTGAATTCATTCACCCCTACGTCCATTTCTTCAAGTCCCATTCTCCACTCTGCCTCCAGTGCTACTTTCTATATGAGGAACTTTCCCTAGAGGCCACTAGCAATGGCAAATAAATTAGCACATTATGGATTTTGTTAGTTCTTATTTCAAGCAATGACCCCTTATATAGAATTAAACTAGATTTTTTTCCTGGTATGCAAGCTTTTTACTTACAGGGAGGTGCTTATCTAGGGAGCACTAAAGATGCTGCCCAATCCACTATGTAGACCAGGGGTAGTCAACCTTGGCTCTTTTATGACTCGTGGACTTCAACTCCCAGAATTCCTGAGCCAGCTAAGCTGGCTCAGGAATTCTGGGAATTGAAGTCCACGAGTCATAAAAGAGCCAAGGTTGACTACCCCTGATGTAGACCTACATGAAGGTGTATAACCTTCTCTTATCACTTGCTTATATAGAGCGGACCACTATTGTTTGTCTCTTGGCTATTCTTGGAGATACTGTATATACTTACAAATAAATTGAGAATTTTAGGTGCCAAAACACACACGCACCAAAATTGGGTTTGCCATAACTATAGATGGGTTTATCATTATATATGGTAGCATTTTTTAAAAGTACCCATATATCTTGCATATACTCATGTATAAGCCCTTCCATAGATAAGTGGATCCTCAATTTTTAAACAAAATACCAAGAAAAATGGCTAATCCATAGATTGCCCACAGATAAGCCAATTATGAAAATTAAAATATGCAAACATTTTCAGAGTTGCCTTATCTCTGTGTAGTACATTTTTCACGGTGTTATGGTTAAAAATTCAAAGGTCAGCCTATCTGCAAAGGGGATTATATACAGGACTATATGGTACATTAGGACCATAAGTTTCCCAGGACAGGAATACTACAAGTATCAACCACCAATAGTCCCCCAGCCCAAAGCATGGGAAGTATAAAGCAAGATTTTTGTTAAGCTCTAGAAAAGTCAGGAGTAAAAGAAGTCAGTTTTAAACCCAAGAGCAGTGGTTCTCAACCTTTTTAATGCCGCGACCCCAACCGGTCGTAAGTCGAGGACTAAACCGGTCGTAAGTCGAGGACTAAACCGGTCGTAAGTCGAGGACTACCCAACTGGTCGTAAGTCGAGGACTTTCCCTGCCCGGGAGCGCCGCGCATGCGTGGTTCCACCCCCTGCGCTGGCTGAGGCATAGCTGGCAAGTGGCAGAGACGGAGCAGGCCAACCACCAGCTGGCCCAGCCCAAGGGAGGTAAGGCACCCGCCGGAAAAGGGGGAAAAAAATGGTGGACAAAAAACATGGCGGACAGCCTTGCTTGGCGACCCCCATGAAATGGTCGATCGACCCCAAATGGGGTCCCGACCCACAGGTTGAGAACCACTGCCCAAGAGCATGGAAGTCTTGGGTCTCAACTGTCAAGAACCAATCAGTGTTTGAAGTTGCTTCAATTGCATATCACACTAAAATTTGTGACTATGGTACCCTGAATTTGGATCAGCCAAGGAGAGCCCGTCAGCTCGTGCCTTCTATCCAGCCTGTCCGGTACCTGAGACCATGATTCATGGAATGGAGGAAAATGATTATATCTTGGCTTCCCAAGGAGTTTTCCCCACCCACCCCCTTCCCAAGAAGGAGTAAACATAGTGAAGGATAAATGTACCTGGCTCAGGAGCCTGGTCAGGTTCTTCAGCTACTGCAAACAACATAAATCGCAGAGACAAGAGGTTGGAAAACAAATATTGGGCAGGGAGAGGAGGAAGCAAGAAGAGAGAAGGAAGCGGTAGAGACCAAATCCAGGAGAAAAAGGAAGAGGTAGTTAGATCAATCCATCTGTAGGCCACTTTCCCCAAACTGGTGCACCCCAAATGGATCAGATTCAAGCTTCCCATTGAATTAAGAGCCAGAAAAGCTGAAGATGATGAATGCTGGAGTCTGATCCATCTCAAGGACGCCAGGTTGGGAAAGACTTCATTTAAAGATGGATTAGCCGAAGGAAGGAAAGCCATCCATTGTATCATGGATAGAGATTTTACTGGGAGCAATCGTGGATATTTTCTTCCCCACCATGACCATCCCTTTTGTTCTTTTACACTCCAAAGGCCTCAGATAAAATGCTGGGACCTTTTTTCTGGGGGGGGGGGAAGGAGGGGCAGAAGCAAGGAAGTGCTTATAGGAGTCTGAAGATTCTGTTATCATTTAAGATAGGGTTTCCCAATCTTGTCAACTTTAAGACGTGTGGACTTCAACTCCCAGAATTGGCTGTGGAATTCTGTGAATTGAAGTCCACACATCTTAAAGTTGACAATCCTTGGGAATCCTTGATTTAAGAAATCAAGTTTGTGTTTCTTTGCAGATTTCAAATTGTCTGTTTTCAAACTTGACTGCCTTTTCAAGAAACCTTTCCATATCCCTAGTGGAACCAGAATATTATAAAGGAACTTTGGACATTGGTTGTTAGCCCATAATTCATTTGGCCAAGGCAATATGGCGCCATGTTCTGGTGCTGAGGCAATTGAAAAAGCTTTCCAGAACATTAAAAAGCATGATTGTGCTAATTCCACATTATAAAAGGAAAATAGAAGTAACAAACACACTAACTTCCATAACTGATTCCCCCCCCTCCCAGGTTACCCCAACATTCTCAGGACGCAATTGCATAAACTTTCACATATGCTGGACTCACAATCACATAAGCAGCAAATCACACCAGCTGGCTCAGCAAAGACTTTTGAGGAAAGCACATTCCTGGGAAAGGCAGAGCCTTTAAATGTGGGTACATATTTGTGGCTGAGTGTGTATGTGTGTGTGTATGTGAAATGTTGCCTGAAAATTTCCCCAAACTGAATTCATGCTTCCTTTATCTGCTCCTGTCTTGGTGGCAGCTTTGACTTGAGACCATCTTACTTTGAATTAATGCCAGCCAATCAAATATCATACAGCAAAATGTAGCCAATCAGCATTGATTGTGCAATACTGTCATTAAGAGCAAATTGTCCTCCTTCAGAGAAGAGAAGAATTTTAAAAAGATTGATTCAGTAGCTTCTTCTCTTTGTTCAGATTGAAGGCATTAATTCGCCCTTTGAGATATTGTCATTTTACTGCTTTACTTTCTACATTTACTTAATGTATTTTTGGACTCCCTCACTCTCAAACATTAAAAGAGGACCCATTCCTTAAGGAATACAACAAATGTTTGTAGATTTCTGGGCTCCGCACAGATTGAAAATGTTGTGCATTATTCAAAATGAACCCCGATTGCTCAAAATAACCCAAAGAGCACACTCAGATGTTGTTTCTGGATACCAAAAGGTGAAGAAAGACGTGTTGCAAAATAATCAGATGTTAGAATCTGTTAAATCGAAAAAGAAAAGCAAAAAGCAAAAAGCAAAAAAAAAAAAGAAAAGAAAAGAAAGGAAAAATGTTTCAAGGGTGAATCAAACAGCTTCAAGCACGTACGTGAGGGATTACAGATCATAAAAACAATATTGGATTTTAAAATTTGTAGTGGATCCTACTATACTACAACCTTCCTCAATCTGAAAAACCTGGGAGACTGTTGTAATTCCAAATATTCCTCGTCAGTCCCATTGGAATGGAGCCTTATGTTCCAGATCTTATTTACTATGTCCCATTCCCTTCAGGAAGAAAGAGAATTGGCAGGAAAAAAAGACCACAAATCCTAAACGGTGAGGGTAATTACTAGGAATAGCAAGGGGTCTCAGAGACAAAGGTCAGTGACCTAAGAGAGGTTTATTAAACACTGTTTCGGACTGTCTACAAGGGGTAGAACCACGACGGTCTTATTCCTCTTTAACAATGAACTTGTAATCCCGTTGGACAGAATGAGCCTTACTCTATCTCCGTTGGAGTCCGGAATCAGTTGCTAAGGCATGAATGGGACAACCATGATCTGGATGGTTGAGAACCTCCATAGACGTTTACTCCATGGTTAAGCACAACTGTGGACCTGATTGTTGTCTCACCTTCTTCTTCTTCTTCTTCTCCAGCAGCATGTTCCTCTTCTTGATGAAAGAAAGAGAAAGAGAGTGAGACAGACATGGGAGATGTTCTTCAATTAGCAGATGAGGAAGAGATTTGGTGATCAACAAATATGGAGTATTTTGAGGTTGCTAATAATTACAAGTTGGAAAATATTTGGAAATAGCTATAGTTAATATTTCCAATGATAGCCTATATTTTAACACAGGGGCATAATACAGGTAGTTCTTGACTTACAACCATTTGTTTAGCGACTGTTCAAAGCTATAACATCACTGAAAAAAGTGACTTATGACCTCATACTTACAACTGTTGCAACACCCCCATGGTTAAAATTCAAAATTTGGTGTGTGGCAATGGGTATATATGAACCATAGTGGCGCAGTGGTTAGAATGTAGTACTGCAGGCTAACTCTGCCCAGTGCCAGGAGTTCGATCCTCACCGGCTCAAGGTTGACTCAGCCTTTATCATCCTTCTGAGGTTAGTAAAATGAGGACCCAGATTGTTGGGGGGGGGGCAATAGGCTGACTCTATAAACCATTCAGAGAGGGCTGTAAACAACCGTGGAGCAGTATATGAGTCTAAGTGCTATTGCTATGTATTTACAATGGTTGCAGCATCCCAGGGTCAGATGATCACCATTTGCAACCTTCCCAGTCAGCTTCCAAAAAGCAAAGTCAATCCGGGAAACCGGGTTAGTCGAGAACCGCATGATTCAATTAATAATTGCAGTGATTCACTTAGAAACCGTGGCAAAAAAAGATTGTAAAATTGGTCCAAGGGTGCTTTTTTTTCAAGGAAATGAAGAACAAAGAAAGTCCAGTTGCCTTTTGAAAAATCACCTTTGGGACACCCATGATCTGGAGGACTGGGAATCCCTATAGATGTTGTAAAATTGGATGCAACTCACATAATTACTCCCTTGCTTAGCAACAGAAATTCTGATCCCAGTTGCAGTTATACGTTGAGGATTACTTGTAACTTGCAGGACTACCTGTAACTGCAACATCACGTGTGATCACATCGGTCCAACGGGGAACGTGTGTTGCAAGTGAAACATTTATCACGATGTAAGCTTTGCCCCTTTAACTACTTGAATTTGATACTATGTTGCAAACATGAAAGAGCAAAGCTTTAATTGAGGCATCACAACACCCATTACTTCCTTTTGGCATCAACATGGTTAGAGGCAGATGCTTAAGCATGAGACCTGTCAAAATCTCAAGGGTGGCCTTGGAACCTTTCCAAATTCACAGCTGCCTGTTAATTTTCAATGTGATAGATCTAGAAAATGTTTGGATGCAATGGAAAACTCTGCATTTAACATATTTAATTTATTTTAATAAGCTTTACATTAACTTAAATTAGATTTTTTTGCCCTGGTCTTATTCATTTTCTGGTTTTGACCACTTTTAGGGAGTGTGGTCCTTGTTCCCCAAATGTTATGAACCCTTCTTTTACACTATTTTCTTCCCTGTCAGAGAAATAGAGTTCTTTATTGGTCAAGTGTGATTGGACACACAAGGAATTTGTCTCTGGTCCATAAGCTCTTACTGTACATCCCAGCAACACGTGATAAATCATGATCATAATCATAATACAATCATCATGAATCATAAGACACAGCGTTCAGTGATATTCATAAGACACTAAATAAAAACAATCAGCATAAATCGTGAGGTACAAACAAAAAAGTGATAGTCATAAGATGCTAAAGGAATAGGTAATAGGGAAGATGAGAAGGATAATAGTAATATAGCCCTATTACATGGTTTGATATCCGAGGGCATAAGACAGTGTTGTGGGAATTAGTTGTTTAGCAGAGTGATGGCATGGCGGAAAAAATATTTTTGTGTCTAGTTGTTTATTTATTTATTTAAATCTGCTTTAGATAGATAGATAGATAGATAGATAAATAAATAAATAAATAAATAAATAAAGAAAGAAAGAAAGAAAGAAAGAAAGAAAGAAAGAAAGAAAGAAAGGGTAAGAAATAAAAAAGATTTGCCTTTTTTCTTTTGCTCTAGCAAGAATGCTTTAAATTTTAAAGGGGTAGAAAGAAAAAAAAAGCAATATTGTCATGGAAGCCTACAAACCAGCAACAGTTTTGCTTTATTTTTATTTATGCATTGGATTTATTAAGGCCAGCCAACCCCATTAAGACGCCAGCACTCTGAAGCTTTTCTCTAAAAGGAGCTGACCTTGTTATATAGCAACAGAGAAAAATTCCAGGAGGAAAATAAATAAGGAGATATTAAGGCTGGATTTCAGGATGAAAGGAGGTGAGTAAACTGGGCCATTGGTCTTCATGTGGATATTCATTAGTCTAAATTAATAACAATGACAGCTTTCTGATACTTGCTATATCTTTAAGAAAACCAGAGGAAAAACAGACTGTTATTACAACTATGATTTTTTTTTTTTTAAAAGAAAGAAACTGAAAAGCTACTTCTAGCCTTGGGGGAGTGATAATGGGTGGATCAGAAATTTCTTACCTTCCTGCTGCTCCCTGGGAAGTAGAAATCACGGTTGGCAGAGAAAGAGACAAAGAGAATGAGAGAAAGGGAGATAAATATGAGTAAATCCTTCATTTATAAAACTGTAGGCACATTGACTGTAGATAATTAAAAAATGTTAAAATAGCATTAGCACAACAATAGCATTTAGGCTTATATACTGCCCCACAGCGCTTTATAGCACTCTCTTGGTTATTACAATGTAGAAGCGTTGTTTGCATATTGCCCCCAACTATCTGGGTCTTCATTTCACCAACCGCCGAAAGATGGAAGGCTTGAGCCCTGTCAGGATCGAACTCCAGGCTGTGGGCAGAGTTTACCTGCAATGCTGCACTTTAACCACAGCTCCTCTACGGCTCATCAAGAGAAATAGATACGAAACCACTTTAATAGGTATGAGTTCCTCTCAGTTAGGTTATGAATGCAATTTTGTAAAGAGTGGAGAGTTTTAAGAGTTCCTAATCCTTTCAGAGAAGTCCTCCAGGCTGGTTGGAGACATGGGAAGGCTCAGATGTGGGTCTTTGTGCAACATATTACAACAGGATTGAAAAAAGTAAATAACAGCCGGTCCTCACACTTGCAACCATTGCAGCATTTCTACCACCACATGATCACAATTGAGGCACTTGGCAACCAGCGTATATTTATAACAGCTGCAGTGTCCTGGGATCGCACGATTGCCCTTTTCAACCTTCCCAGCCAAATTTCGCCAAGCAAAGTCAATGGGGGAAACTGGATTAGCTTAATGACTGGACGGTTAACTTAAAAACTGCAGTGATTTGCTTAACAACTATGGCAAAAAGTCGTAAATTTAGGCACAATTTGCTTAACAATAGCTCTGCTTAGCAACAGAAATTCTGGTCCCAATTGTCTCGGACCAGCTGTAGTTCAATTGTTGAGTCCTGCTTGCCCTATATATTTCTCTTCTATGCACAACGTCTAGCAATGCTCCCCAGAATAAGATGAATATAGATAAGAAGCCAAATGAAATGATAGTGAATGTTTGGGAAGGGAGGTAAAAAAAATTGAACTATATTTTTCTTTCTTTTCTTACATTTCCCTGTTTTGGGTGATAAGTAATTTGTTTAATTTACTTAATTAATTTACTTAAACAAAAAGTAATTTTGTTTAATTCTATAAAAACTTTTGCTGGGTATATATGCTGGAAAAAAATGAACAAGTAAAGCTGATTTCAAGGTCATTTCATTAAATAAACTTTTCAGCTTTTGTTTCTACTTCACGTGTTTTTGGACAAATCAACAATCTATATGCAATTCATCAATGTGAAACACTAATAAATGCGTATTTCAAAGTTTAAAGCTGCTGTTTCAAGTCAGCACACTTTAAAATACGAATCTCATTATTGATTCTGAAGGATCATCTTATGTAAACTAAGCAAATGCCCCAATTCTTCTAAAAATCCCCAAATCCAATAATAATCCCATCAGAGAGTGTCATTAATAAATCACAGAAGGAAAATTTATATGGGAGTACTTGAAAATGCCCCAAACTTAGTACATATTTAATTATACATTTGGGATTGGATGTTGATCTACTTACTCCTCATATTCAACTTCTTCATCAGACATGGTGGAAGTTATTAGGTTTTATCTAGAAAGAAATAGATAAGCCAAATGTTGTTGGTTTTTTTGTTTCTTTGCAGGTAAGAAAGATTGTGGAATTAAATCTCAGATATTAGCTCTGACAAATGTCTATGGAAAGGCTATTAATAAACCACTTTCATTGCTATAATTATAATAATCACAGTCATCTCTATTTTTAGCATTGCTATTATGTTCACTTTAAGCACATTGTCTTAGTTTAAAGCAGACTTAATCACAGCAATAATGAAATAGTTAATAATGTCATGCTTAACCTCCCCCCCCCCCCAAGGCTGGTGCCTATTGCTCTAGTCTAGGCTCTGACTGAGAGCTCATTCTAAACCCATGTGGAATCCTTTGGCCTTTTATGGTATGGATTGTAGTCAGAGCCAGTAACCAGACAAAGAAGGGCTGTGATCAAAGACAGCAGGCTGTGTGTGTAGGAACAAGGTTAGGGAAGATAATAGTTTCCATCTCAATCTATTTTTAATGTCTCCCATTGCTGAGCTTGCTCAAAAGGGAGTACAAGTCCTTTCCAATGAAGGAACTAGCCAACCTAGAGAAGAGGAACAAAGATGATTAAGGGGCTGGAGGCTAAAACATATAAGGAACAGTTGCTGGAATTGGGTATGTCTAGTTTAATGAAGAGAAGGACTAAGGGGGACATGATAGCAGTGTTCCAATATCTCAGGGGCTGCCACAAAGAAGAGGGAGTCAAGCTATTCTCCAAAGCCCCTGAAGGCAGGACAAGAAGCAACGGATGGAAACTAACCAAGGAGAGAAGCAACCTAGAACTAAGGAGAAATTTCCTGACAGTTAGAACAATTAATCAGTGGAATAACCTACCTCCAGAAGCGGTGAATGCTCCAACAC